GGTCCCACAGGGGGAGCACCACTCAGCCAGAAGCCAGGCTCACAACTGGTGAGTGCAGCAGCAGTGGCGGGAACCTCTTGCCTCCACAGCAGTGCTAAGGAGCAGCAAGTAGGCAGGTGTTAAGGAGTGAGCATCTCCTGGACTGCGAAAGGGATATCCACCAAGGGGTCCCGGACTGTGAGAAGGCACAGGCTGGGCTGAGGGCCCCCCTCCCCAGTGCACAAATGTCATGCACTGGGCCTCTAGTTAGAATATAGTAAAGAATATGCTTATAACCATATTATAGAAAAAACTAAGGCAAACACTATTAAACACATAATTAATAATCTTATATACAATAAACAAAGCTAAAAGTCCTACATGAGAAAGTATTTGCAACACAGGATTAAAATCCAGAATACATAAAACCTCCTCTAAACCAGCTTTTCTCAAAGTATGGTCTCTAGTCTAATAGTTTCAGACATCCCTGGGAAATTATTAGAAACTAGAGGCCCTGTGCACAAAATTCGTGCACTTGGGGGAGGAGGGTCCCTCAGCCTGGCCTACACCCTCTTGCAGTCCGGGAACCCTCGGGAGATGTCCGACTGATGGTTTAGGCCTGCTCACGGAGAGAGCAATTGGTCGAACATCTTTTACTAAACTTTCTATTTATTCCTCCTTAATTTAAAATACCACCTTTAGCATATAAATATGAATTAATATTTTGCTTACCTTTAACAGAAAATTTAATTGCTTTACATGGTAGTGGTCTTCCAGCATAAGTGTCTGCATTACTTTCATTCAATACAACTTGTAATTTTAATGTATAATTCCCCAATTTTTGAATATTTTCTGGAAAAATAAAAAAGAAATGATAAATCAAGTCAACATAACATTGATACAATTTTTTTAAATATATTTTATTGATTTTTCACAGAGAGGAAGGGAGAGGAATAGACAGCCAGAAACATCAACGAGAGAGAAACATCGATCAGCTGTCTCCTGCACACCCTCCACTGGGGATGTGCCCGCAACCAAGGCACATGCCCCTGACCGGAACTGAACCCGGGACCCTTGAGTCCGCAAGCCGACGCGCTATCCACTGAGCCAAACCGGTGCTGGCATTGATACAATTTTTAACATTCAGAATAACTCACCCATTTTTTTAAACCAGTAAGGCCATTTTCCTCCATGTTGACTAATATGTGAAATGATTTCTTTATTTCCACTTGAAGCTTAATAAAAGAAAAAAAAACACAAGCATTTATTACCTGTGAAACTGAATACAGAACATGAATATAAAGTGTTACAATAGCATCAAATATTTCTTTTTTTTCTATAATTTTTAAAAGTTATTTTGAAACTTTGAAAGATCTAAAGCAGATATTCAACTACAGCTAATCAAGCCCTGTTTTAGTGCTGCCCCTCCTAACGTTCTATAAAACTCATATGCCTGTGAAAATTAATAAACAGAAACCTCATTTAAAATGGAGTCCGAGTACATTGAAAAAAGAGACAGAGGAAGATATAAACAAGTGGAAGAATATACTGTGTTCATGGATTGGTAGAATTAACATCATTAAAATGTCCACACTACCCAAGGCAATCTACAGACTCAATGCAATCCCTATTAAAATAACAACAGCATATTTCACAAATCTAGAATATTCCAAAAATTTATGTGGAACCAAAAAAGACCCAAAATAGCCACAGCAATCTTGAGAAAGAAGAACAAAGTTGAAGGATCACAATACCAAATATCTAACTATACTACAAAGCCACCGTAATCAAAACAGCCTGATACTGGCATGAGAACAGGCATATCAATCAATGGAACAGAACAGAGACGCCACAAATTGACCCACACCATATGGTCAATTAATATTTGACAAAGGAGGCAAGAGCATACAACGGAATAAAGACAGCCTCTTCAATAAATGAAGCTGAAGGTATTGAATAGAAACATGCAACAAAGTGAAACTAGTCCACCAACTTACATGATAAACAAGAATAAATTAAAAATGGATAAATGACAAATGTAATTTAGTGAAACCATAAAAATCCTACTAGAAAACAGGCCACTTCACACCGGCCAAAATGACTACCATCAATAAAAAACAACAAGTGCTGGTGAGGATGTGGAGAAAAGGGAACCCTAATACACGGCTGGTGGAAATGCAGACTGCTGCAGATACTGTGGGAAAAGGTATGGAGTTTCCTCAAAAAATTAAATATGGAACTGCTGTTTGTAGTGATCCCACTTCTGGGAATATATCCTATGAATCCCAAAACACCAATCAGAAAGAATATATGCACCACTGTGTTCATAGCAGTGACAGCCCAAGGGCCCACCAGTACATGAGTGGATAAAAAAGCAGTGGTACATTTACAGAATGGAATACTATGTGGCTGAAAAGAAAGAAGGATCTCTTAAACTTTGTGAAAAGCATGGATGAATCTGGAGATTATTATGCTAAGCGAAATAAGCCAGAGAAAGACAAATATCACACAATCTCACTTATATGTGGAATCTAATGAAAAAAAATAAACCAAGGAACAAAATAGGTCCAGAGGCATGGATGCATAGAACAAACTGACAGATCTCACAGGGCAGTGTGGTGGGACAGGAAGAGATGAACCAAAGAACATATATGCCCATGGACACAGACAATAGTGTGGGAAGGGCTAGGGTGGGACAAGGGCTGGGTGGAGGGGTAAAGAGGGGGAAATCAGGAACATCTGTAATACTGTGAACAATAAATAAATAATTTTTTTCAAGATTAAAAAAGCACTGTTTATATAGCGTAATCTCTAAGTTATAGAGATCTACTGTTAAGAGAAAAAAGCAAGGAATAAAAACATACTTATATAAATAAAACATGCTATGTTTTTTGTAAAGAAAGGAAAGAAATATGAATACATTTGTTCTTGCTTAGAATTATAACAGGAAAATTAGGAAAGATAAACCAAAAAGTAATAAAATTACTACATAAAGGAGAAAGAAAACAGAGCAGAGAAATAACATCAATTCTCGAAATATTCTTTATTACCGTATTTGCCGGCATATAAGACGATTTTTTGGCCCTGAAAAATATGCCTCCAAGTGGGGGGTCGTCTTATACGCCAGGTACACTTCAGATAGACTGCCCATAGTGCTTGCCCCGTGCCATAGTGGCCTCCCGATGCCCGCCCACTTCATTCCACATACCGTTCAGGCATCAGCAGCGCTGCTGGGTGTATGCTCGGCTGTTATGCGATTTT